TTTTAAAAGATATCACAAATATCAATTGTATAAGATTCTAAATTTCTTTTGAAAGATTTGTGAAATATATGAAGAAATTTGTTTCACGTAATTTGATAATGACATAAAAACTAAAGATTGATGTGTTATTTTCTCGGAGCCGTCCAATTGTATTTTTTTGTTAGCCTTTTTTTGTTTGCGTAGTCTTATTAATCGGATTTGTTGTATGATTAATAAAACAATGATTAGTCAAATTTAGTAATTGAAAAATGATTGATAGATTCATTCCATTTTAAAATTGTTGAGAGTGTTTCTACCAAAAAAAAAAAAAATTGTTGAGAGTGTTGCCATTAAGGCCCGTCTTGGATAACCCTTGTTTACAAGCAACGTCGAGCCGTCGAGCAAAAAAATATATTTTCTTGCGTACCAAAACATTACACTAATCAAGCAAGTAATGCATAATCGAAAATATGTTGACATACCAAATACTATACTATTATTTAGCAAGATAACATTTCAACACACGATTTCTATTTTACCACGAGATGTTACTATAGCTACGCGAGAAAAAATTTATACTCATAGTAAGACTTCAACTTTTCTTTCAAAATAATGCTCTGGTTAGGCTTAAGTCAACAACAAAATCTTATAACTGAGAAAATTTTCAGAATAACACGGCGTAACATTCGAAATTAATAATAACTTATTGGAGAAGGAGGTTTATGACTCCAAATAAATAGATGTCTTAGATTTGTACTTGATTTCCTGATACTAGTCTAAAATTTGAGGGCTAAACCTTGGGGATTTTATTCACAAAAGTTACAAACCCATCACATTATTTTCTTTTAGGTCGTGTTTTTATTATTATCTTAATCACTGTCGCTATAAAACAAAATTCATTTTAGTTTTAATCTCGCCATATAATACCAAGTACCAACCAAATTCCGTTTACTACTAAAAATCCATAATTAATATTTCATCCACGCAAAATACTTCATGTCGTAGTATTACTACACAAATCCTATGATGTTTTTTAAAGTAAGTAATGTAGGATAATTTTACCAAAAAAAAAAAAAATAATGTAGGATATTTGCTTGTACTGTAAAAGTCCACGTATAGTATATGATTTTGTTGCATATAAATTTGGAAAATAACTTTAGAGGATGATCATTTTATGTTGAGAGAAATAATTGAAGCGTGGTTATCATCATTGTAAAGTGTTTACTTACCCTTTTCTCGCTACACCCCAACCCAAATCTCCGCAACTTTTGTCGAGCTGTCTTTGCTTAATTAACCACACATTTGTTTTACATTTATTAATTCGTTTATTTAGAAAACAATAATATAGTTTACAGTTTACACCAAAATTTACCCTTGTTTGCATTATAAAGAAGTCAAACCAAAATGATGAATCTTCCTTCGTAAAGATTGTTTTAGACTTTTAAGTCTCGAATGTGACAATATGAGACAGGAGCGTGAAGGTTGTGGGACAATTCAAACAGTAAAAAAATTTTATATATGCATATATGTTTAGGATTCGAATGTGGTGTCGGTTATATATAAAGATAATGCACGCATCTCCCTATGTAATGGTTAGTCCTCAACTCTCTGCCTCAACTTAACAAAAACTATGGATAACTATTTGGAACTTTTAGATATCAAAAGAAAAATCCAAATATTTATGCGTGAACTCTTTGTATTTAGTTGTAGTATTAAGTCTACCAATTTCAGGAATTCGTTTTACAGATATAATCGACAGGTTAAACGTTTCGTTTTTACTTTCTATTATTGATGTTGGAAGTACTAAGAATTGTGGGTATGCTGCTAATTAAAAAAAAAAAGCTAGGAAAGTGGTTATTTTGCTAGTAATTAACTTTATAGTAGTTTTATATTAAGTGTTGATAGCTCATTTGGTTAGTAATTACTCATTTGACAAAGGCTGAGTCCTTATTTCTAAATTCAAATTTTATGTTTACATCTTAACGTGTATTACCAACGGATGATCTCTTACCGAAAGATATATGAACCGAATGCCCGAATTTTTTTGTAAACCAAAAAATATAATCAATGGGTAGCATAATATAAGCTTATATGCTCCTTAATTTCTTCATTATTTGGTATGATATATAATGTCACATTTGATCAGTGGAAGGAGCAAAAAGCTGAATAAAAAATGTCACCCAATAAAAAGGTGATGAAAAAGGAAACGGGGACCATGGCATCCAATCCCAAGCCTTTAAACTCATCTTTAGTGTTTCATAAACCCTTTAACGTTTTTTGTAGTTTAATAGATTATGAAATACTAAATTCAAATTAAAAGTGTTATTTAAAAAGGTTACAACCTAATAATACCTATAAGCGAATTTAATGAATCAATAAACTAAACCTTGATTTTTGGGTTGTGTAACGTTCCACCTTACCGATAATGTGTTTTACACTCGGCAACCACCATTCTCAAATTTAATTTATATTATTTTTAAGGAACACATAAACGCATGAATAAAGGAATCAAAAGCCTTTGATAACGAGGGAGGGATCATATGTTATAACTTATACGTAATTCAACATTTTGACGTTAAGGCAATCCCTAAAGCATATAAAAAATAATAATCATAACAAGTTAACAATATATGTATGCTTGATATTTTTAATTTCTCTGTCCTAAAATAATAATCATAACAAGATTACTCGACATTTTGACGTTAAGACAATCCCTA